ACCCACAAATGCCGAGCAGGAGGTCGGTTGGTGGCTTTGGTCACTTGGTATGTCGCTTCCAGCAAAACAGAGCTTCTTCCAAAGATTTCCAAACGCAGTCAGGTGGCAGGTCTGACTCTGAAAGCTCAGACTGCAACCCCTTGCTGGGTGAAATTAAGCCAGAAGATTTCGTGGGGTCTGGAGAAGTCCGACCGAACTTGGTACGAAAAAAGCAATGCATCAACATGAATCACCCCCCCCCAGGTTGGCACATAGATTCTACTGATGATACCTGATGTTCGTTCCAGGGAGTGCACGCTTCGAACAGCCATCGATGTCCATGTTGGGTGGATTTTTTTCCCCGAATCGAAGATCAGCGGGAAGCAGATGGCAGCAGAGGCCGGTTTGTGCAGCTGCCCGAAGGGTTGCGCATCAATTTTGAAACCTGGTTGATCAGGCTCATGTTGGACCCTGCCAAACTCAGCATAGATTTCGTTTATATGATGAGTTTAAGGGCCAAAAAAGAGGCGACATGGGTTTCTTCACAATTGCCAGTGGAGTACCCACCAAGGTGGTCATAAAGTCATGCTAGACAGGACATCTTCACTCCTCTTGACCCCAGCTGGTTATTTGATGCTCGAAATCTTGTGCTCGTCTCACCCCAGTTCTCAGCCGAAAACAGATCAAAACATATCAGGGCGTGTCAGTCGGAGGGGTTTGAATTTGAGATTCACCTGAGCATACCTGATTCCAGAACTTCAGTGAATATGACTTGGAGTATCTTGGAAGTTCTTGTTTCGGTTTTTTGGCATCACTTCGTTTCCATGGAATTTCTGGGCGCAACAGGACTGGTCTCTGTCCATCGAACCCGTTGAACCCGCTGGCCCAAACGATTTCTCCCAGCCCAACGGCGCAAACAAGACCGGTCTTCGATTCTCCGAAGACGGGATTCGACCCCGCTTGGCATCGATGGATGCCGGCCTATGACATTTTCTTCGACTCGGAGCCTCTATCTAAATGGGACCTTTTGGCCGGTTTGATCATTTGTCTCGACCATCACGGAGAACGGGCTGCCTGCCACCACGTATCGGTCGGGTGATGGGTCCGTGGGTGCGTTGCACCGGTCGACAGCTTTCCCAGTCCCAAGGGGTTGTTCCAATATGGCAAGTGTCTGATCCTCTACCAGCACCCTCCAACAGGCTGTTAGTTGAGGGTTGTTGGACCCTAACAGGTCTCAATTGGTGACCTGTCGGAGGGTCCTGGTATATTAATATAGTATAGAGGAAGTGGTCGGGACTGAGTTCGACTTGTTTTTGGTTGGGAATGGCTGCTGGTGCGGAAGAAGAAAGCATAGTTTCTTTGGATCGCCCCAGCGACACCGAAGACCCGGCGCCCCATGTGTCGTGGGCGTGGGCTTCCGATTCCGAAGAAAAACGCCGGTCAGACCTGGTGTCTAGTAGCCGCAACTGCGCCGAAGACCTGGCGATTCAGTTCACAACACATTCTTTCATCCCACATCCACTACGCAATTTTTCGTTTCTCACAGTGGCGTGAATTTGCATCGCCAGGCTCTGATGGCTGCGGTGCTTTTGGACACAGGCGGGGCTCTACTAGACCAGGCGAGCCTCTACTTATCTTTCACGTGCCGTGGCAGCCTTCCTGACAGCTTCTACCAACAGGAAGCCAACAGGAAGACAGTTGTATTACCCATCCTGTTTGGGTAGCTATCGGTGTTGCCGACATGTGACCAATCCTCTACCTTCCTGTCCATGCTCCAACATCATGTTAGGTTGGAGGCCATTGCTATTAGGTTGGAGGCCATTGCTATTAGGTTGGAGGCCATTGCTATTAGGTTGGAGGCCATCGCTAGTAGGTTGGAGGCCATTGCTAGGTTCCTTTTGCTATGAGGTTGGAGAAGAGAAACTCAATAAACTACAAACCAGGAACCATAAATTGCACTGGCCGCACACTGGCCGAGGTGGAGACCTGGATAAGACGTGGTCGGTCTTCCAAAACGATTTCCAGGTGTCCCAAAGCAGAGTCACACAGCAAATCAGGCGCGCGCGCGCGAGCCTCCGCAGGTGACGGGGAATTGGATGAATACATGCGTGGGCCCTTCTTTTGGCAGGGACCTGGAGATGAATACATCTCTTGGATCTGATTTGCCTGATCAAGGAGTATCAAGGGGGTCTATCAGGGACCGCCAATCATGGTTTTGGAATGTTTTGGAGTAATTACTTTGTTTTGGCCCATGTATAAGGACTAAGGCTAGGACACTCCTGACTTGGTGCTGCAGCTGTACTTGCCGCGGTCTATTGTCTATGTCAGTCAGCCCATTTACTAATGGCATTGGCCGGGCAAGATCAAAGCTGCAAGGAAAAGAGTTGTCCAAAAGTCTATGTTGATCTATGTTTGATGTTGACTTTGCAGCAAATCCAAGCTCTTGGTTGAGAAACACAGAAACACATCTACTAGGGAGGCAAAAACATGTACCCACTATGTGAAGACACGCACACACACACACATATATATATATATAAATAAATATATATATAATATATATATATATATTAAACTACTATGGGAATATTTATTTGTATATGGTTATTTATATAATATAATGTAGTATATAAATATAGTGCAATTTATGATTATATCCCATTGTGGACCAAGGACAAGACCCAACTGACTCCATGACCTTTCCACTTCCACCATCTTCGACCCTTCCACCGGCCAGTGACTGGCGCCAGCGCTTGCGGGAGACCCAGAAGACCGAGGTCATTGAAAGCGGAGCGTCTCTTGGCGATTGATTCGGGTGGCCTCATCGATGTTCATTTCTTGGGGAGTTGGTCGGAGTTGATCGGGGTCGCAATTTTGGGGTTCGATTCTGGGATCCTGGAGATATGCACCTCCGCCAAAGGTAGTGCGTACGGCAAGAGGATACTGATGAAGATCTATCAAACAAGACAAGCATGTGCCTCTGTTACTAGTAGCTTCTCGTTCCTAGTAGTAAGGCCAGGAGCTACTAGTAGCGTCCTGCTCCGTTCGTAGCGATGCCCTTTAAAATTTGTTACAAACGTGCAAGCGCGTGCAAGCTGAGATTCCAAGTTCCAAGGCTTTTGCCCAAACGAGCAGATTCTTCCAGGAGCGCAGGCGGGAGATTTCTCCCGGAGGATCACTAAAAACCCTGCTCCATGAGTCTCGGCGACTGACATTGGAAACGGAAAAAGAAGGACATCCCACAGACCATCATCCTTTTGAAGTCAATGGATTCCAGGCTCATGTTAGTCTTTGGATACGTCAGTTGTTGAGATGGTTCAAGTATGTTCAAGTGCCCTGGCAAACAGAACGAGGAAGCCGGAGCATGCGACCAATCAGTATTGCAGTTAGTTCCCACCTGAAGCCTTTCAACAGCCACTTCATTGGACCTCACTTGATGGTGTCAAAGGTGGAAACTCTAGGGGTCGGCGAGGAGGGGCGCAGTTCCCAGTTAAATATAAACCCCAACAGACCTCCCATTATGAAGAAGTAAATCCAAATCCATCAGCACCTGATCCCAGCCTTACTGATCGTTTTAGGGCCAGTTCTGGATCAAACCGTGCTGGTGGAGTTTGCCGGCAATCCAGGCCTGCCTGAACAGCCGATAGCGAAGGCAGGTCTTGGAGACAGGTTGAGTGCCAGGTAAGCTCTGGTTAATCAGGAGATGTTGGTCAATATGGTCAATCGCTACCTTTCGGCCTCAAATCACCGAAGCCTGATGGGAACCGTTGACCTGCGCCGACGGCATAGGGAAAAGGATGGAAGAGGTCATTTGGTGCATCATCATGAAGCTGGTTTGAAGGCGGTGACAAGCCGCATTGCATACTCCCACACCGATCCACACCGATCGATCACCCGGGTTGGATCACCGATCATAGCGTCCGAACGCTACGTTCGTAGCGTCCGAACGCTCCGTTCGTAGCGATGGCCTCCAACCTACGACCGCGATGGCCTCCACCGAGCATAGCGTCCTTGCTACTAGTTGACTCCTACATTCAGCTGAAAGAGTCGTCTCCCGTTCTCGTCCGCGTTCATCTCATGTCGCCTTAGACTCCGTTTGAGTCAACGATGACAGGAAGAGAAGCCCATCTTTGGCCTTTTGGAGAAGGGTGCAGCCCGAAGAAACCTCTTGGAATACTGCAAGAGGCCTGGGCTTGGCCATTGTTTTTTGGGTGTGAAGTGACTGGGAAGCGATCTTCGTTCCACAAATATAGCCTCGGGATGTTTGCAACAAGACCTGTCCATTGAGCTACCGGCAGGGAGAAGCTCAAGATGAAGTTTGAAGGCAGTGAGGCACACAGGGGGGTTGACTCCACCCAGCCTCTATCTATCTGTCTGTCTGTCTATCTATCTATCTAATCACGAGAGAAGGGCTCGCACGGGCTTGAGTTTCACCAGCTGGGGTGTTCCAACATGTGGAGCGCGGCGGAGCTTGAGCGCATGCGTGTCTTGTTGACCAGGTCTTCGACTACTTACGACTGGTCATTACCCTGGTGACGTGTACACATGTGCAACAATTGTGCAACGATTGTGCAACAATCTACTTGTTCTTGCACATTTTGACTTATCAGCTGGGTTGGTTGAGCATGGAGTTTGTGTAGGGAAATCGCCCAGGATCATACTTGGACCTTCCAAGTGGTGTCCAATCAAAAACATGAGCAATGTGACAGGTAGTCATTCTTTTGGATGGATCTGATATAGGAACTGAAGGGCTACAGTCGCTGGCAAAAACGCACAATTATAGTGCATACATGCCTTTTTGGTTGTTTCACGTCTTTATATACTCTGTTTCACCCCTGGGTCAGACCTTCAGATGGTCAGAGCGACTCCCCAGAATGCTTCAGAATACCCGGGTGGGGGTAGTTCCCAAATCCACATGGGTCCCAAATTCTGCCGTTGGAACCAGGAGTCGAACGTCTTCAAGGAGTTTGCAGCTTACTTGAGAACAACCGAGAATTGGAATCACGATTCAACAAGTCAACATGGCCATCAGGCCATTTGTCCCGGGACGGTGGGAATGCTATTCCGTTTCGCCAAGGACGGTCATTGTGGACAGCAAGAAGTTTCCAGAGGCGCCAAACAAGCCGAGAGTTTGATAGGCAATGAACTTTTATATGCATATATATATATATTATAGTATTTCGATGTGTTTGGAGAACACAGAAGCCAAGGAATGGAAATGCTCCAGCTGCATTGCTGCATTCTTCAAGAGTCTAAATAAACACTAGTTCCCAGATGAACACTGACTGCACTGCCTAGAAACACGTGGATCTGACTGATTGTGACAGGCAGAGGCTGGTTCCAAATCGGCAGCTCAGGACGATTCCGATCATCAAACGGCTGATGTTCCAATCAAAAGGATGCTGCTGCACCATTGCACCAAAGTGGATCAAAGTGGGTTTCCTTTCGAAAGCCAGCAAACTCCAGATTCCGTGTGGATGAGAAAGTTCCGTTCTTCCTTGGAATCGAAGGGGGACAGACTGCGAAAGGGGGGCAAAGTTGTGTGCGGTGGAGCTGGTTGCAGGATTTGGCTGCGGAGATGGCTCTCTGGGAGCTCCAACGCTCTCGAACAGAAGCACCAGAAGCACCAGAAACCCCAGAAGCACCAGAAGCACCGGCCACAGGCCGAGATTAAAAGGGGTTTCTTGGCGCGTCATCAAGGATCTAAACATATCTAAGTTCATACAGGCGGCAGTTGTCGTGAGCATTGTGTAACGCCTGCTCTTTCTCCCGAAACGGGCTGGACGGAAGCGACACGGGGAAGCGACGGAAGCGATCACGCCATTGGACCGAAGGAAGAGTGGATGAGCTGGAACCGGCAGGCGGGACGGGGCGGAACAGGGCGATGAGTGAAGGGGTCTGTTTCTTGGAAGACACAGACAGGTCAATGCTGGAAGATATATATATATATATTTCTAATACAGTGGTTTCAGAGTAGATGGCACAATGCCCAAAAGGTGGTTTATATGGACCCCCATCTAAAGGACATGTAGGGGTTTGTGCCATCTACTCTGAAACCACTGTAGTAGCAAAGCAGGTTCCGTTGTTCTTCCTAGCTTCGGACTGGCGAGAAGAACGGACTGGAGCCTTGTTTGGACCACGACCGACGGCCAAAACAGTCCGTCTTAAGACACTTGCCAGCAGCAACCTGGATCAGGGTTTAAGAGCCTCACCAGTCACTTGCCTGAAGACTCTCGGACCCCCTTTTCAGTCCCCCACCGAGCTCGACGCCTCCAAACAGAGGTCCACCGGAAAGGCCCAAAGGCGTTGCGCGGAAGGCGGCGGGCGGAAGGCGTCGCGTGGAGTTCCAGCGAGCGAGCCTGAGAAGTGAAGATCCTGTGCGTGTTGGAGAGTTTGGAGAGGACACCAGTGCTTGAAGGTTTAGTTTAGCTGGTATTTCTATCCCCGTTAAAATGGTGATAAAACATTGTTTTTTGACTTTATGCTTTTGCCACACTTTGATATCACCGATCTGTGACTTTCTGCCATATGTAGACTCAGGATTGCCCCAACCATATTCTGTATTTGGTTTACAGATCTCTCTGCAATTGCTTTTCTGCAAGCTCAGAGCCATAATTCCCCTTGTGCTGTGTGTGTACTAAAGCACACCCTCCCACTGCAGCCACTGCGTCAAAGGAGCTGACGCGATATTGCAACCAGCCGCTTGGTCTGTTGGTTTACAGGATGCAGACGTGGTGTGTTTTTATTCCTGGCAGAGTGATCCCGGGATTGAGTATCACCCAATTTCTTCGTCAGAGGGACGACTCATTTTGGAACATGGTTACCGAATTCTTCATTCTTGGATCGAGTCAGACTCCTAGATAGTCACTTGTCACTCAATTTTTTCTCATGACCTGGCTGTTAAACATCACTCATTCTTGTCGTTGACAGCGTACCAGACCCTAATTTCATATCAGAACAATTCAGAACATATATATGCTGATTATTGGTGACAGCGGAAACAGCTCAGGAGTGATTGGCAAGGACAAAGATAGTCTCCAAAGGCAAAATGAACGTTTGCCGATGTGTAATGAGAACTGGTGTCCCGCCAGTATAGGAGCAGATAGTGGAACAGATGCTTTGGGTCATGTTCAACGCAAGTAGCAAGTATTTCAGGTTTGCATACTCTGCGGGAGATGACCCCCCAAAGATAAACGTTAGCTTAACTTTAAATTTCATGTTCACTCGCTTAAGTAACCTTGCTCCCTGTTGGTTGAATTCGAGCCCTCTCCGGTAGGATCCATCCGCTCGGAACTCGCAGTGGTTCCCCGGTCCGACGGTCCGAGTGAACCCCGGCGCCACGGTCGACTCCGACCCCAGGCGCCTGCTGAAGTTTCGCTTCAGCGAGCGAGAGGCGAAGAGCGGCGAACGGACGGAGCGAGCTCGGTGGGGGTCCACCAGCGGTGGAAGCGACGAGGAAGATTCTCTGCTTGGGGGTTTTCCTGGGCATCCCCTCTCCTTGCCTCCTAGTTCTTATTGGTTCCCAAGCATCCTATTTCCATCTATTTCTCGTTCCCTTCACCAATGCAAATCTTCTATCTACTAGATTCCATCCTTTCTTCAGCGAACATGAATGCGGTCTTGGTCCTTACCCAAGGGGCAGGGTTTATGCAAAAAGATTCAGCCATGCATGGGTGATGGAAGGATCATCATGTTCAACTTAAATTTTGTTTCAATTTCCCTGTATATAATGTCTCTTAATGCTGCAAACTGTCGCACCCGGCAGACTGAATGTCGCCGTTGGTTGGAGCGGCCGAGAAGATTGGGACCGACTCGACCCTTCCCGCATTCTGATGCCCCACCAGGTCGGTTGGACTCGCCATGTTTGGTCTAGTGGTCGGCTGCGCTGGTGCCGTGGGGTTCAGGTCTCGCAAGCGGACAACAGGGCCATGTTCTACATGTCCTGGCCTCAATGAGGCCTTGTCGTTTGAACATGTGGCAAGGGTACACAGGAACACGCAACACACTCAAAAGCATAGAAAAGCATAGAAAATCAAGGTATGGTCCACTAGTAGTCACTAGTATTTTGATAATGGTTTGCTCAAGGTTCGATTATATATAGAACTCTAGATTTCATCCTTCTTCTTTGTTTTGCCTAGACTTTCGGACCGGAGGATGAGCTCTTCACTCTGCAGCTCTTCACTCCCGAGGCGTGTGGTGATGAACGACCGTAGCTTCCCTGAGGTGTGGGGAACCAAGTGGCCCAAGCGGAGCCGGTCCCACACCGGCCCTTATTGAATGGAGTTGGTATTGAATGGGAGACCTCGGCACAGGGTCGTAAAAGCTTGGTAGTTGTGATAGAGAAAACCCATCGGCACAGCAGGTCTCCCGTGTCCCTATCAAAATTCACAAAGCAAGAATCACAACCAGTGTATTTATTGGCTTGAGGTGCACGGAGGAAAGGTTAGCACGTTGCTGTTCCCTCCAAAAAATTGTTGTCCAAGATTCATTGTTTCTTTGAATACTGTCCAGCCAGGAAACGCCAGGGAAACACGGAGATCCGACCAAATATATTTCAAGGGTAGGGCAAGTAGGGGGTGACTGCCTGCAGACTAATGAAAGAAATGCTGCATGGCCGACGGAAAAGGGCGGACACCAGCAGTGACAGACCTGGGAGACAAATGAACGCTCAGAAAAGGGCTTCATGTCTAATGAAGCAGCACAACATCCCGGAGCTTTAGACACATGAAAAGACTCTTGGGTTGGCGGAAAGTATCAAGTGTGAGGTTGGCATCCTAATGCCAGATTACTTCAGGGGTAGGTTTGGGGAGACTGACTCCACGGGCGTTACTGAGCTAGCTAATAGCGACCAATAGCCACCCCAAAAACATACCAAGAACAATCAAGGAACTTCTTTTGGTTTGCTGTTTTGGATGTTGCCCGATCAGATCGCGTTCTTGTGGCGGTGTGACAATGATTTTGATGGTTGGCAGATGCGCGCCTGTATCCTCAAGCAAAAGCTGGACAGGGTGCAAACTTACCACTTTTCTCACATCTGAACTGTGGGGTACATCAAGATCATACAACCAATGTTTTAGGTGATATTCTGTATACCACCCTCCCTCTAAGGTAGCAGGTAGAAGGTATGTTTGCACTATCTTCTGAATGTCCGGATGGAGAACTGCGCGAGTGCTGCATCCCAAGCGACAAACGGCACCGGCACCCGCTGGTCCCCGCGATCCAGATGGGTGCCTAGCACCTAGCATAATAAGGAACTACACGGCCTTGCTAGGCGAATATGAATGAACAAACCTATGAACAAATAGTATAACATATTGTAAAATGGTGTAAACATGTCTTGCAGAGTTAAGGCCAAGACAAATAAAAGACCCACTGTGGTCATCCCTTCGCTCAAACCAATGACCGCCCCAGTGACCGCAGGGTGCCGGCATCACAAAACCAGCTGCTCAGGCTGGCTACTTCAGCACAGTCACTGCATATGCTTCTGTCAAAAATCCAATTAGAACACCTTTTCCTGCAGAGATAACACATAAACCGTATTGGTATTCCACAAAACTATTGGGCCAACTTTCATCATTCCAGGCTGCCCACTTTCAGGCCCCCCCGCGGGGCCTCCAGATGTTCGGTCCCTTGTGGACGGACTCGGTCCTCCGGTGACGACTGGAACGGCTGGCACGGGTTGTTCTACTGGTGGATCCACTGGTGACGACGCCGCCCCTTGGCAGGACATGGCTGCCGAACTGGCACTTTTAGAACTTCGAGGAACGAGCGATGGAAAAACGTGAGGTGTAACACGGATGGGTTCAAGTCATGAAAGTAAAAGACTTACTTCATCTCGGCATATGTTCCAGTTTCCTCAGTCCCATGCTTTCTGGGAGAATCCTCAGTGGTTCATCCGGTCTCCACGCTGATCCCAACGTTGGAGGCTTGGCGGACATTTCCAACCAACCCGCTGAACTCAGCGTTCCGCAGGCGTGACCTATCCCCTGACATGGTTGGAAGGGATCAGAAGGTGGCCGGTTGCCACACCACAAAAATTGTGTTGCAGGTTTTAGGTTTACCGGGCTGCAAGTTCGGTTTCGAAGGAATACAGCACGGTTTGGTGGGAGTTGACCCTTTGTCAGGATGGCTTTCTGACATGTTTTGGGAAAAAACCCGTGTGGCGTTCGGTTTGGTTTCAGAGGCTTCGGGCCTCAGGAGAGCTCCACTTGTCGGTTTAAGCTCGTTCCCTTTGAGCTGTCCATCCAACACTGTCCGATTCTATCCCCCCAAAAAGCAGTTCACAGATCATTTTTCCTGGAATGTTCCGTGGAGCAGGGGGATGAAAGTGAACCACTTCTTTCAAGCAATCTTGGACTCGGAATCCCAGAGAGGCAGACAACCCATCTTCATCCAGCGCTTTTCCTGTGTACAACAAGCGCTTCAGTCTTCCAGCCCCCAGACGAAGGACGGACGAGCATGCCATGCTCCAAGGAGTTGGAACAAGGACACAGGTGACGCTTAGGGACCTCCATCGGATAGAAGGTTATCTGGGCCTGGAAAAGAAGATCTTCTTTCCACTGTCACGAGATCATCCCACGAGATCAGGGCCTTTGCAATGGGCAAAGTACCACTTGGCTTCATCCATTCTGGATTAACAACCTCCCGGTACCGTGAGCGCCTCTGGCAGAGGGAGTGCTTGAAGGTTTGAGTACGGAATTTCTGCTACTAGACTAATCTTGGCGAACCAATACGCTACACTTTGAACATGTTGGGAGGTCAATATATGTAGATTCAGCACTCTGTATGCATCAAACGAAGAATCCTGACAGACTGAGAAGACAGGCAGGCAGGCAGGCAGGCAGGCCGGCGGGCAGGCAGGCAGGCAGGCAGGCAGGCAGGCAGGCAGGCAGGCAGGC